ACAGTAAAATTGAATTGGTTATGTTACCGTCACGCTCCAGTTATAATTGAATATATATTGTAGGCAATTATTCCGTTCGTAAATATTTAACAATAAATCAATACTATCCTTTTCATACGTGATTGGTTGAACGCGAGTGAAGCATTAAATATCAATCGAGGGTAAATAGTAAATCCTGCAGAGATAAATTATTAACATTGATTGGTCTTTGACTACGTCGGGCCTGTAATCAGGTCTTAGAGAATGTCACTGGGATGGTATTATAGAATAGACGAGCGCTATGCAGATACCAGACGCACAATGGACCAATCAACAACTGTGTTCCTGTCATTACTGCTTGGAACGTATAAAGCGTTACTCACACTGCATAGTTACGTAGCCTTATCACGCAATGACAAATTTGTTGACGTCCATTATGTATGAACTTTTATTATATACTAGCTGTGCCCGCGGTTTCACGCGCGGGCACAGCTAGTATTTATAGTCCATGTGTTATTTTGATATACAAGCTATATCACTGTAAAGTTCAACAAAATCCGTTCAGTAGTTTCTGCGTAAAAGTGTAACAAAAACACCATCTATAGTCTCAAACTTTACCATTTGATATCCGTCCCTTTAGTATTCCATAAAACGTTATGAAGTACATATCACCATCCGGTTTCACATGCTCCACAATTCTTTTTGAAACAATGCGTAAGTAAGCGTTCTACATTTACGAAGACGAGTGTATTTGTGATGTATCTCTAATTGGTATGCTAGAAGCAACTGAGGACAATGTCCCTTCACCCACTGAATTAAGGCATCTGCATTTTGGCGTTTAGGAGAGCAAACCTACTTTGTCCACCCTAATGTATGTTTCATGAATATATAAAGTTTACTTAAAAAAGAAACGGCTTCTTTTCTATTGTCGCACTAACAATCTTGTAAGTGATGCTCGCTTTGTCCCTGTCTAAATTATGTTTGAGCTTGTTAGTTGTTTTTGAGCTTGTTTAGATGGAAGAGGCATTTTATTTTTACGTTTAGTGTAGTTTTTTTTTATTATTATAAATAACGAAATTGTGCTAACGGCAGGCATTGGCGGGGCTGCAGCCGAAAATGATACCATAAATTTTTAAGTGCAATATCATCCTCGAACCTATTCATTCCATATTCATCCATTAAAAAAATTAAGTACTTTGATGATTATTAGCGTACTTCTGTTTTTGTTTGAATTTGACAACTGAATTTCAATTGAAAATATGTAATCCTTGTATTGTATTCATATCAAATTTAATCTTCTTATAATTAATGGACATACATCATACATTACTGCATTTCATGCATAATATCAGCCTAATATAATTTATGACTTTTTATTATAATAGGCAATACCTTAACAATTCCATACTCTCCTGTTTTGTGTAACCATCCTTTGTTACGTCAGAACACGGTAAAGGACCTTTGTGTTGGCGAGGTAGCCTGATGTCGACACGTGGGCAAACTATTATTTAAGTAAATTCATGACTCGGGGTTATCTGGTACAATACCAAGAGCAACAGCGTTTAATAGATGGTAATTAAACAATCTATCTCCCTAATACATAAATGTTGAACATGCATATGATATGGTACAATAATAAAAGCATGTTACAATAATATGTAATTTTCAATGTATAAGTATACTAACAATTCTAGTAACAATACTAGAATTGTTAGTTACTGATTACAATACGCATAGAATATGTATAGACACCAATTGATTTTTAATGATTAGTTTATTTTGTAGACTCATGTTAATTTTTCTATGTATATTTCAGATTCAGAATTTTCGGTCATATCTCATTATCTGATTTGAAATATGAAGTTGTATGTTATACAAGTAGTATAATTATAACAACGAGTTTTAATTCAAGTTTAAGTTTTAAGTTATTATCAATAAACCGTTTAGCATATATATATATATATATGCTAAACGGTTTATTGATAATTACGGCAGTACCTAAACTGTTATACCTCATTAAATACTTATATGTATAGAACTTTGACATAATTGGAAACTGACTAAACTAAACTACGGCAAATAGGCACCTGCCTACTTATTACAAAAGGGCATAGACAAACATTTTATTAATAATTGATGTATGTGTCCTTAGTTTGTGTCGTGCCATTGTTAGACATGACTGTAATAAGTGCTAATAGAATATGTATATCCATGGAAATATGAATGGTATCATTGAGGGTCGAAATGACAAGGGTTGAAATCGTTAACGTTTACAATGTCAGAATTTGACAGATGCTGTTATGTTTCTTAACGCACTTTGATTATTCAAGTAGTGTGTACGCAGGGGGAAATCAGAATCAAATCGCTATTCTCGTTTTTGGGAGCGTGAATTCCTCGCACGAAACTTAGAATGTAAATCATGAGGCATGAAAGTTCATGAATATTTGAGTTGTTATGTGTTGTTGGGGTTGGAATGTTGTTTTTATATAGATATTCTCCAATTGTCTGCAGTAAATGTCGGTTACATAAATATCAGTCTTGACATTGTATTGTACCTACATCTTAGTATTTGAATAAAGTAATATTTAAATAAAACGTTTTCAGGAACAGGAATCCTATGAATAAAAGATCCCGAGATATTTATTCTATTGTTTACTGTCCTTTTTTCAATCAACTGTGGCAGCAGAAGGAGGTTGTTGCAATATAAACGCAATATAGTATATTTTTTATTTACATTAATACCAAACGATATTTTCTCCAAAGTTGAACGGTTAATATTTAGAATGATATGGGATTTCTTAGAACTATAAAATATTTGCATTCGTGTTTTTTTGTGGGACAAATATATATTTTAATCAACTACAAAATGCAACTTGTTTACCTAATTAGAATAATTAATAGAGGAAATATGAATAGCCAATTTTTTTTGTACTATTTACAAATAATTATCGTAATGAAATTATATATAATTTCATACGACAGATTGTAAGGGTAATGAAACAAAACTTTACATTCAGATCATTCGATGACTCTTTATTTACACAGTGATGACTTCGGTGAAATGTTCAATACAACCAAACGTACAGATCACGTAGAAGTAACTGACCAATGAAGCTTACAATAAATTTGACGTTTACTAACATTCTATAGAAACTAGCTAATTGTAGTCCCTTCAATGAAGACACGCGTGATAACCCAAATCTCCATTGATGGGAATATAAAATAATTTTTCTTTCAAATGTAATAAAATTTAGAATGTCAACGATTTCCTATAATGTATTTTTTAAATATTTAAGAAACAATATATACAACCTTAAGTATACCATACTCATTTAACATTCACCGATCTAAATTGCTATAGCTTGATAGTAATTATGTTATAACGGGGCGTGAGAAGGGATTGTGAGTAATGGGGACTATTGACCCCAATGCTAACAATGCCCCTTGTCAGTTCGACCTTCGCGCGTTCCCCTTGGAAACATTCGTGGTTAATTCCTTAATTCCGGCCTGAATTCAGTATTTCCTCCTCTCATCTTTCGCTCGTGTCTCCCCCGCTTATACTGTAACCAGTATCATCATTTCATCATAATCAAAAATCATATTATACTGACTTACTAAATATCTTTATATAAAATAATAAGTCCTGACGAAGCGAAAACTGTCTCTGTTTATTGTTTTTTTTTTTAATATTTTTTATATTTGATTCACAAATAAGAGGCATGATAATTATATTTTCTTTTTAATTTTAAATATGCCATCTACTGTTGTTAATCAATCAGTTAATGAAATAATATATTTCGTATGCAAGCTTTATTTTATTCTGTAAATTAATTATCGTCAGATGGAACCTACTGTACCCGCAGAAGAAGTAGCGGGCGTCACGAGTTGTATAGTAATAATATATTAATACAATTTAGCTTCAGTCTTTAGATCGGTTTAAATGAGTATGTATCACTTAATACAACAATACCTAATGGTGACAATCGTTTCGTCCATCATTAATTCTATGCAGTCAAATCTTTGACTAAGGCCGAATACGAATGATATATTTCAATTACAAACAAAAACAATTATTACATATAGCAGACCATAGTTAACAATGGATATGTTACAGTCAATTTTAGTGCAATCATTGCCCAAGTAAAATAATTTTGCAGTGAATGAAATTATAGTGATATATCTAAATTATTTCTACTACAGTCCTATGATGTATCATGAATTTGTACATACAGATATTAGCAGAAAGAAATTAATATTAACAGTTATTTGGGAAACTATATTTGGATCTACTATAATACAAATAATTAGAGATGAATTAAAAGATGTATGAATATTCTTAGTTACTCAGTCTAAGTCATGTGTATGACTTAATACAACCAATACCAGTCATTTTGAGATTTGTAATCTCTATGAGATCTCTAAATCCGTTACAAAATAAATATTGCTTCAAAGAAACTATGAAAATCCAAATGTTTAAGGAGAACATTAAAATTGATCCAGAAGGCAGTACGGGACGTAGTTGTGTTGTCTGGACGAAACCTTCCTTTTACAGCCAGAAATAAAACCTTAAGGCGATTTGAACACAAGCCAAAAACAGATTTGGGAACAGCCATTCCGCGAGTGTGCTGGTTTATTTAGATACTTTGTGTTCAGTAATATAATGATTTATGAAACAAGCTTGTCAATGTGGTCTTATTACATTTGGTTTTGTACTTATAGGTATACATTAGGATGTACTTGGTCCACACTTAGATTATTTAATATGAGGTGAGGATGTAAAGGTACGACGGACGTGTATAGGGTATGTACAGTGAAACATTCAATAAGATAATTTATATATTGTTGTGCTATGTGGCCAGGGTCAATGTGAAAGAGAATATCGATCTCATATCTCGCGCAAATTTCAGGAAACTGAATAACATTCACCAAGGAATAAATAAATCTAATAACAATATAATGCACACTATCTCAGTGTGCATTATAATGTTATTAGATTTATTTATTTGTATGTTATCCTTATTAGAAGTATATTGTTGTTAAATATTATTATGTTAGAACGAGTAATGCCGATATTATTACTGTTGGTTATTATTAATCCAATAATCTTATAGAATTTTTATTACAAATTCAATTCGTTACTTCACAGAAACAATAAATCCGTTCAGTTTCATGAAATTGAACATCTGGTTTAATTTCAACTGTGTGGTTGGTCTAGCCGTATAGAATACTATAGATTAAACCTGTATTATGTATTGTAATTATTTATGCCATTATAGTTCTAAATCTTAAGTAATTATTACATTTATTTTTTATAACTTTCCCAAAAATAATATAGGAAATATATATCTAAGCGTGGACCGAGATAAAAATGTATTTACATAAAGTAAATAATTGAACTAATACATTGACTTACGTGCCAAATACGTTGAAATAAATACTATGAAACATTCTAACAGTAACAACTAGTTCTAGATTTGTCACTTAGGTAGGTACAATATTTCGACTACTTAAGTAAGTATATTATTCAATTGGCAGTGCTGTAACATCTGTATAATCTAACTAACCTTTTTTGTATAATAACTAATAACAGACGGCGTATCTATTTTTAGATCTTGTTACAAATACATAGACTATTTTAAATAACGGACAATCAAAATATTTATTGAGTTGTAAAGTTTGTATATTTACATATCGTTTGGCATCCAATATCACTGTAATTGAGCCAAAATTTAATTTTAATTTCCAGTAAGAACCTTGTATAATTGAATAATTGTAACAGTTGTGTTTTGTACAAGTGGGTATATATTTTTTAACTTTATTATTATTGTTTGTGATATGTAAAAGAATTCACATTATTTTGATAAAAAAATGTGACAAGAAAAACGTAAGATTCTGCAATTTTAATAAACAATGTTAGTGATCAGTATGAGGCATACAATTTACACCAGCTAAGTGGAAATATCTAATTTATTTAATAAGTAATTTTCTATTAATTGATTTCGTTCAAAATCTATCTAGTTTTAAGATATACATACAAAAGTACAGAACAAAAAGCTATTAAATTTAACCATGAATAATATTTCACTGAAAATAATCATATTCAGTGACGTATTGAGAAATATTCCTCAATTAACAATAAATCGCAGTAAAAGTACGATTTTAAGTATATGTAGCTACTTGTAACTTTTATTTGCATGTGCTCCTTTTGATCAACAATTAATAACTCAAGTAGAGATAGATATAAAATTTCTCATAGGACAACATAAACACTGTTCAACAGATCACTTAGGTACGTTTATAATAAATTTTAGAATAAATTATGTTTACCAAATAAATACATCTAACTTTTTGCTTTGAAATTACATTATAATATGTAATTACCAAGTTTTCTAATCGTATAAGAACACTTTTATCTCTTATAATTAATATAAAGAAAGTCACTACAGCGCTGTTCATCAGAATCTAGTCAATGTTAAATTATGCTATATTAATCTACGTGTCTACCGAAGATTGCCTTGGGAGATCAGATGTGTTCGTCCTGAACATCTGCGAGAGAAAAAGAACATTTAATAAATAAATATGAAAAATATATGCCTTTATTCCCATATATAAAATTTTCATAACTACACTATTGACGTATTACCCGTTTACTAACGAATTAGAGAAGACTTTATCGCTGTTGTTAAAAAAATGTAGTACAACCGCCGCAATTCATTCATATAGTGACGCTAGCCGGCGTAGTTACATAGCTGCTTATATTAAAGTTATGTTTCACTCTTTGAGCTAAATATATCGCGGAATGTAGTTTAAGAAACATACCTGTAAGTCAAAGGAAATGAATAGTTTTTATCTCTTCCCTTGTACACGTAATGTTTGTATGTCTTCTCTAGTACGTTAAAACATAATAACTCAATGTCTACAGCTAGATAAATGAAACAATTACAAAATCAAGCAAACTTATTTAAACATCAAGGCATAACTTAATACAATATTACCATTAAAACATAATAAGCAAACCTCAATCCAACATTTTATTCATTTTCATTTCATATACTTTATTAATAAAACTGAAGATATTACTTTGGGGAATAGATATTCTGTGTAAATAATATTTATTTTTTTATTACTGCATTTATGGTACACTTCCATATAAATAGGTATATATACTTTTAAAGAGACTGTGAGACTGTGAGAGTTTATGAAGTAGTAGTGCTCTACACTATTATATTTTTTAGATCGTATAACAATTCTTGATAGAAATAATTAAAATAAATATATAAACAAACCATAAGATTAATCTTTATGGCATAACGAATTACATATAAGGCCATTATCGATATGTTTTAGACGTTAACGTATATATTCCCTAAGAACTTGTATTTTCTTATCAAAGAGGCGTGGAAGTATATACGCTACATTATTAACGTAAAATAAAAATAAGCAACTTTAAAATGTATACGGGAATAACATTCATGCAAGGAAATCTCGTTACTCAGCATTTTATTGGATTTCCCCAACGCAATGAATATATTTGTCAATATAAAATATAGTTGTAATTTCATATTTCATGATTGTAGAGCGTGTTCAATAAATATTTATTATAAAACGCAATTTCTCATTGTACATTCTATAATTTTCATCAATAAATTATATAATATTAGTACTATATTAACGCATATTAAGTAGGTCACTGTACTATTTTCTTATAATAGAAACTTCGTTAATTATAATTGAGTGCCAGCAGCAATTTATTAATAGTATCGGAGGGAAAACAGTGGCAGTCTCATAGGATACAGTGCAGTGTAAGTGTGAGGGAACCATGCATTGAAAGACACAGAAAAACGATTGTGTATGCCTTGTATTTAGGAAAACTACTTGTAATATCCCATGCTTCATTTTCATTGCAATTTTCGGAAGGATTTAAGCGATGTTAATAAGACAGCCATTAAGTGAATACAGTGTGAACATTTCCGTTGTTGGGATTCATATATTAGTCTACTACATGGGAAATAGTCATGCTGTATATTGCACAATACAAGTATTCAATATATATTATAATATCTACTTAAAGAAAGGTAGAAGCGCATACACGACCGTGTTCCACGTCTTGGAAGTGACACAAACAATTTGTTAGTTACATAGGGAGTAACTACGGGGTGAACAACATCTTCAAACTACTTACTATACATACTAACCACAGGTACACATGTGTATATTATTTCCAAAGTTAAATGTTACACGGCTTCAAAATTAGTTTCGTTGCTTGCAATGGTCTTTTTCTCCCCATTACACTCTTTATGATCAAGAAAGAAGTAATGTTTGTGTTTGTGTATTTTGGATGAAATCATCTAAAACTAATATTAATTGCATTATATAACACATTAGTCACACGACACAAAATAATGTGCCTTATAACGAGATTTGACTGCATGAATTTCATAAAACTGCTACGCCACTAAGAATAACACAAATAAATATAACAACTCCATAAAAATAATAATATTAAGTTATTTTAAAATTCTTATTCTATGAAAATAAACATATAACTTCAAATAAAGTCAATTATAATTATTAACAGCAACATTGAGCTTAAATTCTATCTAAAAATGTTATCAACTTGTGCCATTAAAATATAAATGTGGTAATTTGAAGACATTATGTGTTTTAATAATATTGTATTTATTTTTTAGAATGCATAAAGATCAATCGTTGTGGCAATACTTAATACTAAGTCTGCAGAGTAGTAGCAGACTAAATTAAAGCTATAACTATTTTAGGATGGATAGATAGTACAGGCTACATTTATGTATAATTGTTTGTTACAATTGAATACGTAGAAACATTTATGAGTAGATCTCATATAGCTAGTAGTAACACTAAATCAGTCTAGTAGGAATTTATAGGTAGTATATTTAGACATAACGACATACAATATGTGCGACCATAACAGAAGGTACGTGTGAGGTAGAATAGAGAATTAGGCCAGAGCCTACGTGGCATTAGCGGGGCGGAAAACAAGTCGAAGATAACGATGTGTCTATTACATAATTATTTATTAGTATCCACAATATTGGAACAACGAACCATGTTTTTGTAACATGGATTGTATTTATTTTCAGTTCTTAACAATCTATATTTTATATTTGTGGTATATACTTTTGGGTCTAAATTTATTAAAGCATTTACAATGCGAAATGCTATGGTAATACTGGTGAATATAGTTATAGCTATACAAACTAGTTCTATATAGGTACCCAGCATATATAACATAATGTATTACACTATGCTTTCTCTTATATTATGAGTCCAGTCAATACAGAATTGCATTTGCATTTTTTAATTACATATAATGTTATTGGTAAATATCGTGTGTAAAAAATTAGCTAAAACAGCAAATTGTTTACATAATTTGTATTAATATTAACTGAGTTTCCCACATTAACGTGTGCGTGTAATAATTAATAAGGGAATATCTAAACGTTTTATTTTATAAATAAATAAAATAAAAAAATACAGTATGTCAATATATCAGAGCTCATGTTTTTATAATTCATAATAGAATATTACAGAATATTGTGTCTACCTCTAAAAAGATTATTAAAAAAACACATTTAAAATCTAGGTATTAAAATATTATAGTTGAATTTTGTATTAAAATTAAATTAATACAATAATTAAAATAAAAGATAAAGTAATGTATATACAATATATATATATATATACATATAGGACAAATTATAATACTGATATAAGATGACCGGTGAATTGGAGAATTTACTTTTCTGCTTATACTATAAATAAATGTACAAAATAATAGAAATCCGAACATTAAACACATCAACATTGCAAGTAATTTGTAGTGATTTAGTCATATTTTTTAATAATTAAATAAATTTTCTGAATTATTTTAATGCTTATAGTTTGAGATATCTGTGGCGCAGCGATTAGTGTCTTTAGTTCCTTATTGTGCCCGCAGACATTATTAATCGAGCTACCTAAAATACAGAGAAGAATTTAATATATGCAATTGCCTCATTGCATATATTAAATTAACAATAGATATAAATCTATTATTAATTTAATAATAGGTACACGATACTGATAACCAAAATATTATAAAACACCAAAATATTGTATCTACTATTATTTTCAAATATTTTTATGTGTCATTTATTGTATTGAGCTGAAAACACTGAAGATGATACATTTAAGAGGTGAAACTTTTTAACCCTATGGGTTAGTCATGTAGAGTATACCTACCAAGCCTTATGTCAATGATAGTATTTATGGAACAGAATAACTTTTCTAAAGACTTTGCCTCTTTAGAATGGGTTTGAAAATAATTTCTTAACGTTCATGTTTGAAACATTAACGTTCGAAATCGATTTTTAGATTTCCACGGCGATAGTGTTTGTTTCATGAGCATTTAAACTGGATTTTAGCTCGGTATACTATTAAAATAAACAGAACGGAAATACGTAAATAAGAAAATTATGAAATAAATATTTAATACATAATTCAAGGACAAGGTTACAAATAGCTTTCGGAAAAATCAAGATCAGATACTGAAGCACGCGATGAGCGTGTATAATTAGTGGAGGTGCCATAATCGGAGGTAGCGGTGGCGAGATCGGCGAGAACGCCGCCGCCTCCGCCCCCCACCCCGACGCAGCCCGTACCTTGCGTCACGCCATCCGCCGCCGCCGCTTCTCGCTCTGCTAGTTTCTGTTTCAGCACCCGAATCCGCTCTTCTTTCTGTAAATAATTGTATAAATCTAGTTTTCCGTAATAAGTTGTGCAATAAAAGATATAAATCTGTCATTGTTCCTTCCATATAAAAAAAGTTTGTCCTGATTAACTCAATCAGCTTTGATCAAAGTAAGTCCAGTTTAGAATATATTTTTAAAATTTCTCAAGGGGCGGGAAGTAAATTGTGCCGCCCATGTGTGCCCGTGGGAAATAATATATTTAATAAAGTATAAAAAATAAAAAGTACCTACTGCATTCAAGTAACTATTGCTAATTATTAAGCAGTCTAACCGTCGCCTATATATTATACATGAACATTATGTTACATTACGTTATCATGTATCACCTACGGTACAATTCATAGTTGCCATTCCAGAGGAATAATATGTTTTGTCTTTTATCCTGCACTGTAACCTGCATTCTACATTTTATAAAGCAATCTGCTTAATGGCTCCAATAAGTGAGACAAAGGTACCCAGCAGACGAAGTTTTACAAAGTCTAACTCGTAATATTAAAAAAATTCTATAGGTATACATTTCATAATAATTTTATTATTTGTGTTAACGATACATATACATATATGTACATGTAACAAAGATAATATTTTGCCTGCGAATATTAATATTATTCCAATTTTGTTTAGCTTTGCCGTCGGCAATGTAATGAAATGAAACCCGAAGTGGAAACAAAAACTCTTCTTGTACATTAAAATATTTGTCAGCTCAGGAAATTTGAGGTTGAGAGTGCAAGCTGCTCTGTCAGATATGTGGGTCGCTTGTTTTTAATTTGTATACTTTTATAACGAAACATGAACATAACCTAAAATTATTATAATTGGTATTATCCTTTTGGAATACGAAAGTATAAAAGGATCCACCTACATTAAAGCGTTTGTTTCCATAAGAGACAATTTCTTTCAAAATGCCTAGGGTAATACAAATAACAATATATATCCTAAAAGCCAGGAGTCCAAATTTAGCCGACAACAATAAAAACATAGTAAGTACATTTATATTTTTCCCTGATACTCAAGTGAATTAACACCGATAATAAATCAAAACGCAGTCCAAAAGACCGTTGTATCCAATCATTTATATATTATACGTAGCTTTACATACATATATATTCATATATGTATATAAAGCTACGTATATACCTATGTATAATTTAGTAGTTTTATAGTAATTTTATAAGATGTCTACATAATTTTTTATTCATTACGATTTTAACTGAAATTAAAGCAATTCGACAGCTAGCTAGCAACATTGCAATTTGTATTTTAAAATATTCGTATTTTATAAATAGAAATATTAAAATATGTGCCATTGGTTTGAATTATTTAAATATCCAAATTCTTTAATTAAATATACCAGAAGTTGTATAAATGTTGTGACTGTCTCAACTAGTCACTTAGACTTCGCTAGTCACTTCGTTCAATGTGAATTTGTAATGTTTCTGGTCCTTAAAAATTTACATAAAGAAAAATCTGAAACAACTTTGATAAGGGCTCGTCTAGGGTTTATTAATATCTACCAATTCACAACATTTCTATCGGAGCAACAGCAATAAATTAAGGTTCTGAGAATTAAGTGGGAAGATAGTATTAGTAGACTAATGTCTTTATCTAAATAACTACTGAAATATTTTTATTAAGAGAATGGATAGAAATTATTTTTTTACAATTGTTCTATCATTGTAAGTCTAGAATTGAATTAAATTCAGTTTATGAGTACAACGGTGAACTTTGAAATCTTTTCTGTACTAATTAAATTACAAATGAAGTACGCCAATGTCAATATTTATACCAATCAAGTAATACTGTCTACTTTCTTTAACAAAATGAGTTGGTATGTATATATAAACATCTGTAACTTCGTCCGCATACCGGGACATATTGATTGACCGGAATAAAAAGCCCATATCCTTTTCTATGCCAAATACTATGGGTAGGTACACAGTTTATGGCGATAGCTTGATTCTTTATGGCGGCAAGAGAAACAAACGAAAATTAACTTTTATATTATTATAGTAATTACTCTATGTAAAAAATAGATTAAAGCACAAATAAATTGAATTTTGTTATAATGAGCGCAGTTTAATAAGGTCTTGATGTATTAAAGTATTAAAATTCGCATTTATATAAAGAATGTACAAATAAAATGGACAAAAAATGCTTTTTAGAATGTGAATTCATTTTCCGGCTATAAAAACAGGCAAGAGCCCGAAAGCTTTTCATTAACGTAAAAACACTTTTGCAGGTTACCTGAGTAAATGACAAAGTAAAAATATATCCGCTGCATGTAACAGAGTGTAATTTCACAAAAGTATGATGTTTTATGTTGTTTATTAAGTAGGTCTTCATTCAATATTAAAATTAATATATTCTGTTTCAGTTATGAAATAACAATGCGAAATACGCTCTATTAATACATTAAAATATAAATAATAGATAGGTACCAGATAATCAGATATTCTCTTTATAAAAATTTAAATATATTAAGAAATAATAATAACGGGGGAGATCATTTTGTCATTGCCCAGCCATGGGATACGAATTACGTCTAAAAATAATATTATTATTCACGTTTAAATTTTGTTTTTAGTAAGCAACGTTTAGTACATGAGCAATACATACAATTCAAATGTAATGTATGGTCAGCAAAAAAGAAATAAGAAAATTATTATATTTATTCTAATTATTCATACAATTACAATCTTTTTACATTTACTTGAAATATTGATCCCATAATCGGCTTTCAAATTGAACCAACATTCGTGTAAGAAATATGCCCCTTAGTAACAGGTGTTTCGAGACTATTTGAAACGTTCGCAATATATCCTATTGTTACATGTCATATACGTTAATATGTGTGTAAAAGCTTATATATGTTGTTACAATACCATTTATAATTTATTTGAAGTAGACTTTGTACAATGTGATACCCCTGTCCAACTTATTTCACTGGTCAATATATAGGAGATAAAGTAGTGAAAGTATAGGTATGAGGTACCACATATAAGATACAAGGTGGTGCTTTTTGTGGGTATATACGATGTATGCCACTTTCCATCATGTCATTTTTAAAACTAGTTACATTAAAATGTATAAGACTATTTGTAATAGCCTATATCTTAATTGTATAATGTAAAAAAACTGATTATTAAAAAAACTCAGTTGAGTTTCTTGGCAGTTCTTTCCAATTGAATCTGTATACTGAACTGAATGGTAGGGAAAAATATTCATATAAAAAATATACGTTCATAAGTGGTTAAAATGTCCTACATGAATAAATGTTTTTTGATTTGTTTGGATTAGAAATAGCACTAAGGTATAAACTTATAGTATATATATCATAGTCACCTGTGCGATGAGCTTCTGCAGTTCTTCATTTTCTTTCACGAGCTCCCGATACCGCTCTTCATCAGCTGGGGCCGATCCTGAACCAGACCCTCGACCGCTTTCAGCTCTCTCAGTTGGATGGCGGATCACCTCTATCACCTATTTAATATAAAATACAAATACTTATAGCAGAAATGAAACATAAAATTAACAAAATAATTGAAATATTATTCATTATAATTGTAAAATAAAAACACTCAAGAAAATACATTAAATAAAAGAAATCAATTGAATAAGCATGTTACATTCTATACTAATTATTTATATATGTTTACAAGTATAATTGTATATAAATGCTATAGTTTACTATTATGTGGAAATTAAATATTCTTCAAAATTAAGGTCAACATCATATTCGCTGCAATAACTTAGTTATTATCTATTTTAAATTATACTTAATAACTTATACACATAAATCAAAGATACAATAAACGTGATAAGCAAATAAAAAGGTATAGGAAAATGTGCAAAGAATAAAATATTTTTATCTCTATAAACCAGTGATTCACAAAACCGTTAATTATGTGAAATCAACTGTAAATGTCTTCATTGCAAAGGCGTTTTAACCTGAAAGAACTTTTGTGGTAAATCACTTTAGTCGTATCACATCGGTAATCTTGCGTATCATTTTTTTTATAATAATATTTGGAATAAGCTCGATTGCCGCTTTCTGGCAAAAACATTGTGTTTCAATTTATGACTGACTCTGTGGTGATCAAAATACCGATAATTATCCTAAAGATATCTACAGATACTGCTCATTTTGGTACTTATAATTTTAACGCTTATGTATATATATATATTTCACATAGTCATAATATGTATGAGTTTACTTACTTATAGAACTGGTTAGAAGGGAGTTATTAGTTAGTTAGTTAATTAGCAGTGAAATAGGGTACGTTATATTACTTTACGCAACTTAGTTACCTTACAATGTAAATTGTGATGTCCGTGGTGCTATCCATGTCAACAGTAGTGGAGCGACAGTTGTATGGCATTGAAGTTACATAAAAAAATAAATAGCGTACTTAAACTCACCTTAGGGATAAATATGAGAGCCATGCTGAGAAAACAACAAAAAACTATAGCCAGGGACACGAAGGCGAATGCGGCATCCTGTTGACTCGCTATGACCAAAGTCACAGGCCCGGTGATTAGACACAGTACCACGACGTTGTAAATGCTCATGCCCACGTACCGCGAGTCGTTTATTTGCCTCACTTTTACTGAGCGTGTTTCATAAGCGAGAAACAAACCAAAAACCAACACGAGTCCTTTATACCCGTACATAACACCTAAAACAAAAACGATTAACGTCAACGGAGATAATGAAAAAAGCAGCTGCTATTAACGATGTTATGGAACTTTTTAAAATTTCGTTCTGTAACTTTATGGACGCAAATGAGTCGCCGTGGACTCTGAAGACAGAGATTTATAAAATGTAATTTATTGTTTATGGGACTTTAAATTATATCATATTAAAACTCATCCTTCATAACAGTTACTCTTGTTTCTTATTTTTGCAAGGACATTTGGGTAAATATTTTCATTATACTTTAGACAATCGTCTATAAGCTATGATATTAAATAATATTTACCAAGGTATATTTTATACGAAGTCTTTTTAGTGGGTACCTCAACCTCATCTATTTCCGCCACCATGATTCAATCTATTTTGTAAGCTATTTTTAAATTGGATGATGTGAGTATTTATACACTTATAGATTATAGAGACATAACATAGTAAATTAGTATTAATATTTTTATTTCTATTTATTCGACACTTACTCTTTGATGATGAGACTTGTTAACAAATCAAATTAATCCTAGATACATTTGTAGGTTCAGTACCAATTCCAACGCCAAGTTGCATTAAAATAGGTAAAATGGTAATTTGAGTATTATATTCACTTTGTAACAACCAAAAAACCCCAATGGTAATAAATGGTAACAACCAAAATGTCTACAACAACTCTATCTGAGATGACATTTCTGAGTATATTTTGAGTTCAGTTTAGTTTAGTGACTGCATTTATATTTTAAGATTAGAATTTGTTGTTGTTCTTTGTTGGTGACATCAACTAACAGCAATATTTTTCTGTTAGTTATTGTTGTTAGTTGTCTGTTTTTTATTTTGTTAAACTAATTAATCTCATGTAGAATAAAATTAATTAACGATTCAAAGATGTATGTTGTGTTTCTACCAACGTCCAGCCTGTCGGTACAGCAGCAGTATACAGTCCATACTTCGCACACAATTAACAAATCCACAAACCTAGCCAAACCGTGTTGTGTTCGCTCTCGCAGTGTTCTAATTCTGGGCGAATGTGTACATCATCGTCGTGATGCCGTGGTGCTTCTAAAGGGAATATTTCGACTCGCCGCTGAAGCGGGTCACGTAACTGCCATGCTGTTAGTAACGCGGCATCCACCACTAGTAGTCCGCCCACCATTGTATAAAGTTTCCAACCATGCATACGTTTCTAAAAATGTTCAACTCAATATAATACATATCTATAAGATTATTATTAGATTATTTAAAATAAATTTAACATCTATCATAACAAAATTGGTATGTACGATAAATATCTATAGTCGGTTCAAAAAACATAAAAATAAAATTAGCAAATCAGACGAAAGAATGATAATAACAACTAAACAAAGGAAGGTAGAATGATGTGGAAACATTAATCAATTAGATCAAATAGATTTCATCCTCAGACAGATCTAAAACCAACATGTGTGTATGAGACTAGTAATATAAAGAAAGCTGAAATTGAAAACATTATTTCATTAGAGTAAAACTTGGAAAATTTCATTAAATAAATTGTACATCAAATACCGTACCTTTGTTTCCACTTTAGGTTTAGTGGTATGTCTGTGTACTCGCCAGACTTTGGTGAATAGAGCTCCGTAAGCCATAGAGAAACCAGTCGCTAGTAACCAAGCCCTTGCTGCGCAGAGACCAGAGAAATGTTGGGGCTGTACCCAGCGTCCATCTACTCCTAAAGCCACTGCTGCACTTAAGCATATACAGCACCCACATAACATGACCGTGTTGCACGCTGGGTGAGACCATTGTATAACCCTGTTGAAATAATACTTACAATTCAGTTAAATTAATTTAAAATAGAATGTATATACAAAGAAAACCCAACTTCTCAGCCTTATTATAGGTTAATATGGTTTTTACAGTAGGGTGACATTAATTTAGGGCATATGCAATAATTTCTACTCTTTAAAAAGAGACTTTATTTGCAACATTTCCACGACTTATATAGGTACATATAATATACCTATCTCAGGAGAAATTCACACAGCGCCATCTACTCCCAAGTTAAGTAAAGGTTGTGTTATCACCGAACATTGAGAATGTGACAATTGCGTATGTGTATTATTGGAATTCAAACTATGAAATTATATTGAAGATGCCTTGTGTCAATTGAATTAATAATTGAATAGTTTATAACAGTTGAAACGCAGAAATTAATTTTATTGTATAAGGTATATTGTGTAAGATAGATATACAGAATATAGTAATATTTACCTAAAGTATTATTAGTTGCTTCATTCTTTACGGGGGAAATGGAATAAAGTGATGTACTAACAGAAGTTAGATGGTAAATAGAAAATACCAAATAACAGCAAAAAGAAACAATTTTTTGTTGAGAGTTTAGTACTATTTAATATTTTTTTATTTAAAGCAGAGTCTCAATGAACCAGATGACACGTCCAACGTTTATATACACGGGAATTATGCTAATTCTGTTGTCTGACCATAAAAATAACTACATTTTCTTTTGCTGAGGTTGAAGTACAAATAAAATTATTTTTTCTAAGTTAATAATAATATTGAATAATCTCATAATTAATTAAGGTAGTTTAATTCTGATCTGGGTTGCCTGTTAATATATAATATCTATTCTAAAATATCTCTTACAAACATAAATCTCATTAAAAGGCAAGTACAATGTAAAGTTATAATTTTGTTCTCTAGAGTCTGATGCCTGAGCTAGGTGAAACTAGGCCACTAGAGGAAGTTAGAAATAGAATTATTAAAACAATATTTCGGACTTTTGAATGGTTATTATGTGATTTTATCACCACATTCGGAAAATAGAATTAGTTGAGAATGGACAAGAAAAAATAGAAATATAGTAGAAAATACTTGTTTATTAAAAGTTTTTAACTCATATTTTTATTAACAACATAAATTACAATAATTTATGAAAATAAAGATATGGATTAAACTAACATATATTAAACAGAACGACTTACAGAAAAATTTATAATTTATGACGATGATGACTTAGCAGAAGTATATAGAGCTACAATGGCGCTGGGTGAACATGTCCTGAGATATTGTGATATATATATATATATATATATATATATATATATATATATATATATATACTCTATGTATATATGTCGCGGAAATTTTTTAAATAAATTCTCAACTGTAACATTCATATATAAATTTTACAGTTAGCCTTATAAGTGTAGTATATACCTATTAAACTTAATGCTGTTTCTGGTACTCTTTAGTGCGCACAGCGCATACATCGTAAAGTTATTAATTTAATTAAGTAGAAGTACTATAGACTTATATTAATTATTACACCTTCTTTGAAATGAAGGCGTCACTAGGAATAATTCATTTATAGGTTTGTAGTTGTTATCTACTGAATACTAAACGAAATATTTTTCCTTCTATAATACCTACCTTTTCAAATAATTAATATTCGAGCGTAATGCTTTCTGTCAAACAACCTTAGCGTTCAAAGACGAAATTAATTAAATAATTTGCATTTTAGATTTTAACATCTGCAAAATTATGCTTCATTCATTCGGAATGTTACGTATCGGAATTATTAATTACTGTTCAAATAATAGTTGCAACTAATTAAGTAGCTGTATACTTAGTATTAATTTTAATGTTTAATTTACAAGATCACATATTAATTCATCCATGATATTACATTCTAGAGGAGCTATTAATACAATATGTATCTATAACTAGAGATTATTTTACCTCCTGTGCCTGTGCATGATGTTGAAGACAATTAATCCGATTGCTGCTAAAATACCAGCGATACATAGTGCAGTCATACAAGCAAACAACGGCAGAGACACAGTTCGCAGCTCGTTCACTACAACAGTTCTGTCCGGGGGTACTTTACCACCTGGCAAAGATATGATTTTTTATTTCACACCCTAATAAAAGATCACGAGCAATCGTACTCGTAAAACTATCATAAAATATCACAGATATATGATTGAAGTGTTATGACAGGTAATAAAAAATATACAATTTGATTTTATCTTACGAATATGTATTAGTTTTCTAAATGTATAAATATATATCTATGGTAAATTAATGTGGGTCATCATTATGAATATTAATATAACTTCATTAAAAAAATGTAAACCATACTTTTGATCATTAACAACGACAATATTAATTTCATTCGTAGAGAGTTTGTTCTGTATTGGTTTACATACAATTTATCCTTAATTGGGGATGAGTTGACTGCCTGTTATAATTATTAAGCCTCGTCATTTATAACAATTATATGTATATCCTGAAAATTTCGGCAATTCGCAGAACAAAGAGCTGTACCTAAGTGTTTATTCAATACCTCATTTGATTATTGAAGCACGATATCGCACGCGGACATTATTGGATCAAAATGATACATTGATTTTAGTGTTTGGAATAAAATTGTATCATTACTGATTTTATGTGATTGTATTTATTTAGAAGGTTATAAAACTTTGTGTAAATATTTGCATAGGATATTGGGCTTATCCCCCGAGTATACAAAACGAGAGAATGGTTGATGTATTGTGTATAGATGGATTTCGAGGGTATCACTAAAGCAATGTGCGATTCCAATTATAGATGTATACAGATACATGCTAAATATTAGAATTAATTTATTGTTTTTAACAATTATTACTGAATTCTGTCTGGGTATTTGCTTTTTAGTCTTGAAAAATATATATACCTATTTTATTAAATACGTTATGAGATAAAAAGGAAATATTTAATATTAATTAGTCATAAATAATCTGCTATAATTTATAACTGGATTATTCATCATGATAGTATAAAGAAAAACAATGATGAGTTTGCAAAAAATCCGTTAACATTACCAGCAAAAAGGCGATACGGTTTTATACAGAAAGCTCCCTTTTGGCCTCTCTCCTATCTTAAAGTTACATAATGTTCTAGGTCCTTTATAATATTTGGGTAAATTAATATTAAATATTCTTGTACATACCGACCCACCGCTCCCTGTCCAGCCATGTGAGGTTATCAGCTTGAGTATCGTAGTAACCGAGCTTAACATAATGATTGTCAGTTAGTTGCTCTATTTGAGTTAACGCTATCCTGTCGCCTTGAGACGAGAATGCCACGAGACCCTGGGAAGGTAACTTTACGATTAATAATTAGCGCAATAAAACAACTTGTGAGCCTTATATTACTTGCTTATTCAATGACTACATTATCACTTACGACTATGTGTTCCCCGCAATGGCGACAAACCAAACAAAATCTTCATTACAATAGGTTTTACATACATATATTAAACCTTAACATGTACTATAATATAAATATAGGACCAAACATAACTAGCAGTGAAAAGAAAACTTTAGAAGGTGGGATGAATTGCTAAAATAACTATTATATGATCTCTGAGCTTTAATAATAGATACTAGAATCAGAATGACTTATTCATTCATGATATCGTAAAAAACGTCATTTCACCTGTCTCTACCTTTCAGGAAAATTTTGCAGTAATTCCAACAGTCAACTCAGAAAAACGGGTGCGCGATCTCAGTCGTAGAAAAATAGGTTTATGAATTTTTCATGCCTACCGCGGGTAGTGGAGACCTCATACAAAAATGCCCTCATGAATTTTGTATTTCGATATCAAATTCAAAGTTAGTGTGAAATATTCGTAATCCTAGTTCATATTGTGCATTTTAGAAACTTTATATGCAGTCGTTGTTAGCATACTTTGTTCTGTTATTACTTTCATAGGCATTCTATGTATTTTACAGTTTTATGAACATATTTCTATAAATTTACACGCGAATATATTTAAGAAGAATACGCCGTATTGAAGCAACTATAAAACTCTTCAATACAGCGTACGCATTGAAGTGTTTTGTACTCAATTAATAACTATAAAAGTTTATTTCCATAATGGATAAGTGCTCAAACTCGTAATACTAATAAAGAATTTGGATTATGAATATTCACGGAAAGTCTTAGGCATAATAGGAATCTCAAATGTTTTAAGGAATGTTTAATGTGATTGATCAATTAAAGTAATGGAAATTGGGTTCAATGTTAGTAAAAATGTCAGAGCGTTGTAACAATTTTCGATATGGAATCATAAAAAAATATTTAATGTTAGCGCAAGCAGTGTAGAAACATAAACCGGAGAGTAGTCGGAGGCACTTACCGATACTCCAAGAAATGATGTCGAATTTATTGCCTCGTAGATGTCGTCAGCTATCTTCTTGTTTGTGTACGTAAAATTTTTTAAGCTTAATCCATTTTTCTCTAATTTTTCCATAGTTTTATTAAATGCTACAACAGTAATTTTAATTAGAAAGTGGTATGTGATATATGAAACAAAATACGAAGTCGACTTTCGAATTTCTTTCCTTTGGAAAGATCAGATGCTTTTAGAGTAAAGAAGTAATTGAGATGTACGTAATTACAGGAAAATAACATTTTCTACATTTAGCGTCAGTCTAAATTAGCTTCTAATGCAATTCCTTTGTATGCAGAACTAACAACTCCGACCGCATATCTAGCCTCGGACAAACTATCTGAGGCAGTTCTAGACTCTGTCAGAAGCCACCAAGTAATTGCAAGTAAACAAACTGTGGCGAATTAGTTGCAAACAATTGTTCGAAGGAAATATATAAAATTAATAAATATTAACAAAGTACGACATATTTATTATATTATTTATTTATATCATCATGTTTTATGTTATTTGTAGAATATTATATCGGGATTATAAAATATACTAAGCGGAAAGTCATAAACAGTATCTTGAAACTGAATAACTTTGTTACAGAAGCAAAGTGGCTAATTGAAAACAGTTTGTAAAATTTTCAAACATTAATATAAATAAAATATTAGAAACAATATTTTAAAGTACATTTTGGTTTTTGGCGAAGAACCTGAAAACTAGACGGACCACTCATGAAACTGATTTCATGTATTTCAGGCTACTAATGGCGCATATTATAAATATCTTACAGACTAACATACATAGGTAAACAAGTACCAAAGAGTATATATATGATTAGGCCTGTATTGATAACCTATACGTTTATTATATTCTAGGGAATCTATTTCTACGAGTCTAGCCAAGACGTTGCAAATTATTATTACATAACTATATTTTAAATATTTTCGAAATGATTTGTTATGCATTGTTTGAGATTGTTTATTATATATTTATAGATTTAACTTGAATATTAATATATACGTCATCAACAAGAAACTCAAACTTACCTAAAGCAACAGCCCAAACAGCGTCGTAGGCTAAAGGCGCTTCCTGGTATCCCTCTGGGAATCTTTCGCCGTCGATGTCGTAGCCAGCTTCGCGTAAAGCTTCATTCAGTCGAGATCTATTTACACAACAAATTGTTATTCTCCTGTAGTCTATTTCCTGAGGACTCTCATCTTCAGAGTAATTACTTTCTTCAAATTGTTTATTATCTTGAAAAACGTTTGCCAGTGTCTTCGTAGAGACATAACCCGTACTCTACGCTAATGGCTTTGGTTCATGTTTCTCATTAAAATGAATCTCGTATCGTGGGTTGATAACAGACGTAATATTTTCTGGGATAATTTTATGGTCTACTCAGATACTGTTTTTGTTGCTATGATTATATTTATACTCCTTGTTAAAATGTAACATTTATAATTCATTAATAAATTATGTTGTAAAAGAAAAATGCCCAGTTATTAATTCAAGATATTTTACTTATTTGTAGTCGTGGTAGCTATTTCTTGTTAACTGAAATATACTGTAGTAATAGCGAATATGATCAACATAACCAGTTTACAAGATTTGAATCCAAGAAGAAAATTTCGGAAAAAATACGTAGATAAACGGTAAATGTATAAGTTCTGGATTCTTCAAAGGTATGTGGTACCATGGATGAAGGATGACGTCTAAAATTATGTAAAAATTAAATAAAAAACACATAAATAATATATTATAAATATATAAATTTAAATTCGTACCATAAAAATAATTCAATTTAACCTACACGAGTATATTTTATTTCTATATAAAAAACGATTCGTTCCACAATTTTGGATAAGTAATTATATAGGAATAGGTAAGAACAATTCTCTGATTGCGGAACTATCATCATCTAGAATAAAATAAATTAATATTTTAGACTTTTACATAAGTAAAATACATTTACAGCTGAATTAAAAATTACTTCTATTGGCACGCGGTTGAAAATATTAACTATTTCCATTTTGTATTCATTGTGTTTATTACTGCTACACCGTATGTACGAGTATCTGGCACTCGTAAGCTATTCTGTAGTTATATTATCACAGAGCCAACAATCTTGTGGAGCATTCTAGACGCCAAATAGCGCCACGCCACGATAGCACTGTTATTGGTTTTGGTCTCATATAAACAATAGGTAGTTATTAACAATATACAAATAAATGTTTGAAAATGTATAACATTTTTTTGGCACCATAATATAATTGTTATCTTTTTATCAGTAATCACATTATATTGTAAGTGCTTATTAAAATACTATATTACACTAATTATATAAGTATATGTACGTAGGATTATGTACATACATAGTATGTATATTCATCAATTATTATAGAATATTTATAATGTATTTTGGTTACTGTTAAATTTAAGTGATGTAAATCTCTTTTATACTTAATTTATTTATTTTAATTGGCCTTTTATAACAATTTATATTAGGCGGTAGACCATAAAAATTTGTAAATCATATTCTGTGCAAAATTTATATCTTTATCCCACACAAAGGATATCCGAAATTCCTTTATGAAGACACAGATAACAATAAAGTCCTGTCTCGAATAGCGATAGCGCACATCTCTAGGCATTTTCAACTCAAAGTGTCGTACTTCCAAAGAATAGAATATTATGTTCCACCGCGTAAAACTTGTGTGAAGAGCTTTTATTTAGGGCTGCACCTTATAAATGTCTTTGGGCTGTTTTCCTCGAGAACACAAAAGAAATGATTGTCAGAGGATTAGATTGGTCGTCGTTTGCTATTTGTTATGGGTAATGTTATTATACTACCAACGAGTCAAACTATTTTATTTCAACCCACTTCTAAAAGTGAAGGTATTCAATGCTTACTTTGCTGCGTTCGCTATTCGATATTTTCACCACATGGACGGACTTAATTTTAAATTTGCACTAATTTGCTCGTGATGTACTTATAATGAGTACTTCATCATTATTACATAGTATACAACAAACACTGTCTGTCCCAATGTATGCTTATATCTTTAAAACTACGCAACGAATTTTGAAGCTGTTATTTTAATAGATAGAGTGATTGAAGAGGAAGGTTTTATATATATAATACATGTACACTATTGCGTAGCCGGGGCGAGTAGCAAGTAGATAATAAACCCTCAATACTCGTATTCGCCTGGCTTTTACTAATTAACTAAATTGAAACAAAACGAATAGATAACTTTTTGATACTCATTGAAGTCTAAATCTGAAATATAGTATATTAAAACATACGTAAATGTTACACTTATGGAAATATTCTGTAAAAGAAACCCAACCTCTGTAGTATATTACCCATTGTTTTTCGAAATTTCGCGGGTACGAAATATATATTATATTCAACTAGATTATAGTTGAATAATATAATGTCATTCAAGTGATCTCAATTTAATCAAATTCAAAGTGAGGCTGTTACACTAACCGAAAATCTTCTGACGTCATCCCAGAGATAGTAGTCTGGTTAGCATTCTGGTTCCACATAAGGGCTTCTGTTGTTAGGTGACCTTCTGCTGCCTCCCGCATTTGCTCCACGGTGCACTCAATTCCTTCTCGTTCTAAATTCGTCTCAAACCAGTTGTCTTCATACCAGCCTGCGTCAATATTTTTATTGTAATTAATTATATGTTTATATTAATAATACATATTATTATTATTTATATTGCAGGGAGAAAATCAAGTACCTAATAATATATCGGCAATATATATTATAATATTGTATAAATTTTATGTATATGTTTTTGTGGAGACAAATAAATATATTATTAATGTACTTGCGTATTAAGTAAAAGTCATAAAACTGAGTCTGAAGAAGAAGAGAGCGTGTATTAGTAAATGTGAAAGCTTTCATTATTTGATATACTCGTATATGTATACATGTTACAATTATACAGTGTATGAAAACTATGTCCGATCTGAAAGGGTGTATAAGTATAAGAGAATAGGTAGGAATAGAATAGAATATAAAATCATTTATTCAAATAAACTTACATTGAAGCACTTTTGAATAGTCATTGCATTTTTTTTAATCTACCGCTCGTTCGGAAAGCTGTCTCTTCACAAGAAGAACGAGCAAGAAACTTGCGTGTTGCTCTTTTAAATAATTTTATTATTATTTTACATTTTTAAGTTTAAGTGTGTGAATACAAATCACCAATTAGCACTAATTCAATTAAATACTCAAATAGAAAAAATATTGAATATATAACCAACTGGTTAAACAATTAATAAGAGGAAATCAGTCATAGTGATTAGAGCAGACCAGTCCCTACAAGCAGCACCCGTTCATGAGTATGACGGATGAGCCAGCCATCACTGCGCTCGACCATATTTTAGGGAGCCCAATGACCCGGCCCACCATGCCGCCACAAGTCTGGACATTTTAGTGAGCATGACTACTCAAAACACTAGACCACGTCAAAGCTACTTACAATTGCCATCTGATAGTTATAATATTCACATTTTACATAAGAATGCATGCGGCAATCAATACAAAAACCGCTACGCTTTCATATTTCTAAAATAATTAAATCAAGAAAGCAATGAGGAAATTAAATTATAACGTTGTATGCTAATTATTTACTTGATATGTTGTCATCTATGAATTCGTCTATCCTGTAATAGGCTTTCTTACATAAAAATTGTTTAATATTAGATTTAATGCAGATTCTGGCAGTTTATTATAAAATCTTACGCAATTACCATAGAATTACTCATTTTGTGTAGACGGCATTTAGGTAAAATAAGCTTATTTGTATTGCGTAAGTTTCTACCTGTACAGTCTTTGAGTTTTTTAAAACTCTCTAAGTTCTTCCGTGTATACATGATATTTTCATAAATGTATTGTGAAGTAACGGTGAGGATATTTGATTCTTTAAAGCACTGACGTAATGACTCTCTTGAACCCATACCATAAATAGAACGTATGGCTCTCTTTCTTTCGTAGGTACAAGTGAAGTAACAGTCTATAACTATAGTATGGCGTATAAGTGATATTCTCAAATTAATTAATTAAAGATAATAAAATTGACACTAATCAAAACGTCACTTATGGTTAAAAGTTACAAAACGCTGTGTAGGAGACCAGTGGTTATAAGTAATATTTTATATAATCCTAATCGACACAGGGTAGGTCCAATTTATTCGGAGTTTTATTTCATAAAAATGATTTTCCTTTATCTATGAGTACGTCGGCGTCGTCCTCGACCATTATTTATCCCGTTTCTCTATCCATTTCCTTTGTCCTGTTTGTTGTTAGTGAGCCTGAGGCGAACAAACGTGTGTTTGTTGTGTTTCTACAGAGTTCGTGGGTATATATCTAAGTATTTCCATGAAACTTGGAACATGGTGACATGTTTTGCAAGTTAACTTATACGTGTTTATATCTATAATGAATAATAGTATATGTATATTAATATTCATTATATATAATACAGTAAATGTGAAGGATATAATTACGAGTGACAGCATATTTTGTTTGAATATAGAAAATAGTACAAAAAAATCAACGTTTTTGGTTTGATATTTTCGGTAATATTGAAATGATTCTGACTATTACTTTTATAGCGATATGTATAGACAGATTTTAAATCCATGTTGGTTTTGTATTAAAAAAAATATAACGGCTGAAGTCGGTTTTTTAGGAAAAAAGAAAATCTGAAAATTATTTATTTTATACGTTACAATACTACGTAAGTTTGGAGTTAGAACGTTTACCACGAAAAAATCCAATAACAACAGTTATGTAGATAGTATCATATAATTTATTACCACAACCCTTGCTTACTTGCTCTAATACGTAACACACACATAATAATAATATTTTTTTCTATATAGTGCCCATGAATTATATACTTTAATATAAATATAATCTGCCAGTTTACAGGCCTTCCAAAATCAACGGTGCATGATAGGGCAAAGTGGGCTTTAGATTATCCTAAAGGGAGAGAGGCCATTTCTAAGGTACTTATACACTCCTTTGGGATAGATGAGTTGAGTGCTACTTGACAGCAAAATATATTATTTGATACGTATTTATCCCAAATTTACTTCTAAATGGGAATTATATATTTTGTTTTTTTTTTTATTTTAATTGTGAATACAATAAAAATAATGGCATGACTATAATCTGATGCATTGAGTATTCTTTGGTTGAATCAGTTTGCATATTGCTTTTGTATTTAGGTTTTGATTTTTAGAGATCTCATTATTTTACGAGAACCCTTTGGTTAAAAAATAGTATTAATATTTTGTGAAAAGAATGTAAGTTAAAATACTTAAACCATGCCTTATAATTGCCTAACTTATACAGTTACTGTATAAAATCTATTAGATTTCAGTTAATTTACAATGCTTATATAACATAAATTTACAGTTCAATTTTGAACTCTATGTCAATAACATTACTGGTACTACGATGAAGGATAAAATTGAGAATGAATTCTGACGGGTATGAAGCATCGACACCCGCTCATGCTTTACACGAAGTAATTTTGAGACTACAGCGATAAGCCTCGCATTAATCACATTTTTCTATCAATTTTTGTTTACGATATGATATTAAAGCATTGCTAATAAATTATTTCATAAAATATCAACTTGTAGTTTGAAACAAATAATAATAGAAACTACTTATCAATAACTTACTTTATTTTTCAAAATAAGCTATTAAAGTATTGATTAATAATGACACATTTCAACATATTGCTTAAAATTGAATAAATATTTTAATCAAATTCTTAATTAAATTAACAATTCTTAATTGGACTGTATTTTTTATAATATAGTACAGTAAGAAATATATTAGCAACTTATGAACTGATTTCGTTTATTATTTCTTTAAACCACTAACCAAAAGACATATGGTATTTCATTTTATATGAATATCTCTTATACTTTTTGATAACAAAGTTGTAATAAAAAATACATGGAGGGAGTAAGTAGGAAAAAATATTTACCGTCACATACCTATACGTTTTATTACTGGGAATATCGAAGACGTAAAAAATCTGCGAGCACAAGGCATATCTACGTTGAGTTGGTGATCGTGTCGATTATTTTTATATGAAGTGATCTCTTTAGTGGCCAATTTTATAGGCCGTAATATACTTTTATTACAGGAGAGAAAAGATTTCTAGCAAATATTAAGGTCAAACGGATGGTGATAACCTGCCGAACTCTACGTATGTCTGGCGAGGTGCCAATTCGAATGCATTCAGGTATATGTTTTTAATAAATAACAGTCTATACGGATCTGATACTAGGACTTGTACTGTTTTGATTAAAATTATAATATCTAAAAATTTTGTCATTTGAACAGATACAGCATAAGGCGTTGAAATCGGATTTTCTATGTTATGGCTCTATAGATAAATTAGGCAAGTAGTAGTATTTGCAGCGAAGAATTTGCAACATAATGTGCCAGTAGGTATATGCAATGTTAGTCTATGTTATTGGTTTGTTTGTTGGAATTACTTTAGTAATTTCCAATCATTGCTACGTGGTACGTGGTTTGCCATCAAAGCAAATACAAAAATATTTTCAATATAGATGGAAATGAAATATGACTTTTTTCACATGCTAGCAGACAGTGTATAAATATGTACAATCAACCTAAATTTAGCAAAAAGTTGAAAGGTGTGCAGATTTATTTAACGTTATCATGGAATTTATGGCTGAATTGCAAATTGTTCACAACGGTTCGTTAAACAGAATGGAGAGACGATACATATTTTAAGGATTGAATTGCAATCAAAATTTTAATCGTTAATGAGAATTGATTGAAAAGACAATCACCATTTGTAACAACTGTCATGCCGGTTGTCCCAATTGAATTTCATTAATACACAGTACGGATTTTATTACCATTCCATTTACGGTATAAGGTAAAAGTTGGGAAGTGAAACAAAGTACAGTAAGTTAAATGGTAAGGAGAAATTGCGTCCCACTACCACTCAGCTATTGTCATGGAAACAAGTGACTCAAGAGTTTTGGAGTCTATATTTGATATTAAAATTTACCTAAATATGTTTTAGCAATATTGGTATCATCATTATATTGTAATTGAGGCAGTGAAATAGCAAAGACTATATGTATATATATATGTCCGTATGTCTAGTCACTTGCATGCAGAGTATTACGGACATTATGTTATCACGTAATGCTCGTCATACTACCTACTCATGTATTGTCATTCCAGAGAACTAAGTTGTCTTTTATCCTATAATTACAATACCATATTTCATCTTTCAACCAAAATTTATTTTACAAAGCAAGATGCTGTGCGGCTAAAAAGTGATAATATTTTACAAAGTCTACTTAGGTCAAAAGTTACTTGATATATAGCAAGGTAACCTATCTATAATACTTAAAACTGTGGATTGCCATTTTGTATTCGGTCCTTTGCGTGATCCGTGGTTATTAGGAATATTGTTTTATAATAGCTGTATCTACTACTGATTCGAAAATAATTTTATATATTAATTTAAATAAGCATTTAGCATAAGGACTTTTGGAATGCCAAATAATTGGCTGACTGGTTATTGTAGTTAGTATGTATAATTGATAATATCATATAACATCAAAGTATCAATTTCATACATAAATTGTTAATAATAGTGGATTTTTACTAATTTGTAAAACGTCACAGTTTGTACCAAATCATGTTTAAATTTGTCAAATGGAAATCATCACTACATAATATGAAACAAAGTCTCTGTTCGTCCCTATGTATGCTTAAATTTTTAAAACTACGCAACGGATTTTGAAGCTTTTTTTTAATAGATAGAGTGATTCAAGAGGACGGTTTATATATATAATAATAATAATACATGTACAACCGTGCGATGTCGGGGCGAGTAGCTAGTTATTTGATAAAGTGAAGAGCTAAGAGCTGGTATGAAACTAAGATATAATTGATCTTTCATATAGCCCGTAATTTACTGTTATATAATAATTTGTATAAATGAACGATACGCAAGTTTATTGTTCGTTTAGTGATGAGATTCAAAATAATATGTATGATTATTTAAAAGTACTTAATTCTAAGTTTATTTAAATAAAGAATTTCTCTATTCTGATCTATAGAAATATATATATTCTTATTTATTTATACTGAGCTGTCTCTGTTACTATTTCGTTTTAAGGTAAATGTTAAAAAAGTATTTCTTACATAATAAATAATACTAGAGTGGCTAAGTGAAAAACGGGCAACGCAATCTCGAATAAAAGCAAAGTGATAGAATACGACATGCAGATATCTATTTTGTTGTTTTATTATACTCTAGTGTATCGTTATCTTCGTCTACTCCTCACAGTTTTATCTTAGGATTTTTTCTCACTTCCATTACTGTCCCGTTGTGGTTACTCCCAGAGGAATCATCTGGGAAATTCATTAATAAATATCTCAGACTCTCCTGTGAGAGTCATTTATAAAGGAAAACCGCAGAAACTAGTTTGCTGTGCACTAATATATCATTTTTAATATTCTCATTATTTATATAATATTTTGTGGCTGACTTTAGAAAAGTGCTAATGGCTATAGTGGCAAGGTACAAGTGTAAAATGAAAGGATTAGAGGGTGGAGGGAGATGAAACCAGGTCACTTGGCCCGTTGATTTTGTCGACCAGACCAGACCAGTGTACCTTTGGCGACCAGATCTTTCAGTTTGCATTACGAGGGATGAGAGATTAAGTTGTACATTCAGATTAACAACTTTCAGAAGCATATAAGAAATCAAAGAACATATTTTTCACATTACTCATAAAAGTAAAAAATCTGGATAATAAATAATTGAGATTTAATTATTTTTCCTATATTTGATGATAATAATGATATAATACGTTAAACAAAGCTATATAAAATATAACACAGATAACACCAACACTACAAGATCAATTTTTTTTAAGATTTCTTAACTCATTTCATTTTGTCTGTTTATCTGTTGTCTGTCTGTCACTATGTTTAATATGATATGAGATAATAAAACATTACTTTACAAATACTACACCATTTTGTAGTAGCTGCTTTAATGTACTTGCAAACAATTTTGTACATTGTTCTTACATTGTTTATTAAGCGTGCGTGCATATACCGCGAACCATCGTTCGTTCACATCTTTATTCCTTTAATAATCCTGTCTAGCTTCCCATAATTCATAACGCTCCCTTTATTGCTCTCTGTCGCCCATATTAATGATATGTTGTTTTAAATTTTCTTCATATGAACACGCGTACAGTATGGGGGAGGTAATAAAAGGAATTGTACATCACAACTGGTAAATAAATGATGCTATTTGAGTTTGTTCAAACGTTTTTTACTCATGTAATGAGGTTGAATTTTTTTGCAATATTTGAAACGAGGATAGATTGTAAGCAGTCATTATTATAAGATATGCATGGTATACCAAAGATAAACAAACTTTTTTTTTAATATAGGTATAGCAGTGTTTGTATATTTTAAACTTTTAATCATACCCCTTGAAACCTATTCTAAACGATATATTTACTTACAATTAAATTTACAATTAATCCCAGTTCTCATTTATGAAATTGTTTATGCTATTATATTTTTTAACAATTACGATAATAGACTATCATATAGGTAAGAGTCGCATTGTTGAAATAGAGGAAATCCCTACTTGAATTAAGTTACTACAAATATTTTGGCTAGAATCTTGGCAGTTTGTTAAATATAATTAAATGTGTAGTAATGGATATAGTAGTAGATATGCTACAAATAACATTATTTAATAACTTTATATAATTACCAAAGTACATTTGTTTTTTTGGCACACATATACTTTGGTATTTATTGTGAATGAAAATACGAGAATTCTCATCATCATTGAGAATCATTGAATGAAAATACGAGAGATTTTTTTGAAAAATATCAGCAGACGAATCATAATCTTCTTCCTGAACGAAGTCAAATAAAAATACAGAAATTAGGTTTAGGAGGTCCCAGAGAGCTGTAATCAAGAATAGTAATGTCCTATGAATATTCACAGTGACATATTTTGTTTTTATGTAACATGAATGGTAAAGTATCTGATAACACACTGTTGGTATGTGATAATCGATAGTGAAAAAAGAAGGACAATAATGCCTTCGTGTTCAGCAATTTCACTGTTTATATTACTCTTCAACTGCAATGCTTCTTCTAAAGCTAGATAACAAATGAGACAGATTATGTATACTTTATACGTTATTTACCGCGGCAAAACATTGTCTTACCTATAAAAAACCATACATAGGATTTTCCATAAAGTCGATGTTTGTAGACTTCACAGAGGACCCGACGAGCTGCTACCACGTAGAATAGGCCTACAATGACGCGCGCATCCTGGCGTCGAAGGTTGCGGACAGCATCCGCAGGATCTGACAGGAACGACTGTCTTGTGACGATTTCAATGCCGACTTTTTTGCAGTGGGCCTCCAGATCTTCAACAGTCTATAGGAAGAAAGAAAAACATGGGTAACTTAACTAGCATATGGATATTTATATAGTAAAATGTCCCATAATCATTATTTTCAGCTACTTTAATATATTTTAAAATGTCTGTGGTTACATTTTGAATGTATTAAAGGATGGTATTACTAACGAGTAATAGGTTTAAAGTGTTCCAAGAACAATAAACTTCATTTATTATTCTCGGAACTTCAAATTACCGGATTTGTAACTGGCTGATTAAGTGGAAACATTAATTTTATATTAATTAGAAAATTAGAAAATTGGATGTTATCTTTAAATTATATTGTATTACAAATTGAAGTAAAAAATGAGTAATAAACAGGTACAATATTTTTTTTACGGACATGAACTAGGGTTTTTTTTCGTCATATATTGTATTACATAATAATCTTTTATACATTTTTCTTACTTGTTGGAAGTTTATTAATTATGTAACGTATGAAGGCAGTTAAATTTTGTAGAACAAAATACACAGTCTACATAGAACATACTTTTATATGAATAAGAATTACTACGTGCGAACTTTCGCAAGTAATTTATTTGAGTCGAAAATAGGAGAGCAAGAACGCTTGAAACCCACTGATGCAGAAAAAACAGAGCTGCACTAATTACATTGAATACAGCGTGAAAGGCCGGGCGCTATTCATTGCGGCAACTATACAGTTCCCCTCGTTATGGCCTGTGCCCTCTATAAATAGGTGTTTTCAGCTTACAAAAACATATACGTTGAGTGCATGGAATTAGAACTATGGAGAAATATATCCTTACTAGTACTATTATATTTTAAAGTGTGTTTGTAAATATGTTTCATTGTCAAATAATTGGCGTCGACTTTGAGATGATATATGTAATTTAAGTATACCTACAAAATATATTTTTAATATAACTGCAATGACATACACACCGACAGTCCACCTCATGGTAAGTGGTAACCTTAATAACATCAATAGATGACGCGATATTGGTGATACTGTTCGTCTGTTCGCATTACGGACATTGCTTTATAAATACGGGCATTTATACCGATCTGTACCGATGCATTAAAACCTATAACAAGGTCATGACTACTTATTATAAGTGTCTCGTTTGAGTCCTTTTTATATTATTCTTAGGTAGTGACAGAATAGGTGTGGTCGGTCCCGTTTTACTTCATTAAATTTGCAAAAAGTCAAACCATATCCCTAGACCTAGGCCATTTTATTTTATTTCTGGTAAATGGACGTTAAGCGGCCAATAAATTACCAGCGTGTCAACGGGCTTTATTGTGACAGATAGTCGAAGAACTGGATAAAACGGAAAACTTTTTGAAACAAGTCGACGTGACATTCAGAAAAAAGTCGGGACTTTTTGCGTGTTGAATTTGTTTTTGACAGTTACGGCATTTATATTTATTATAAATTGTCGTCATATAATTTAGAATATTTTTTTTGTTATAGACACACCCGTATTATATAGTAGTTACCTACCACTTATTTATTCAGTTTTTTCGAGTAAAAAGTTGGAGGTAAAAAATATTACTTATTATATTTTATATTTAATAATTATTATATTATATTAAATATTCTATTAGTTAATCCGAAGTAAAACAAGTAGTACTATATTTTTATTATTGTTTTTATTTATTTGTATTTCATGTACCTTGAATGATACAATAATACTAGCAAACCCGCTCAACTTCATATGCGTTACATTGTCCCCGATTTTGTAACATTTTTCATTGCATCTCCGCTCTTATTGGTCATAGCGTGGTGTTATATATGTGTAACCTTATAAGCTTTTCATCTATATAATATTAATATAGATGCGCGTATGATATGTATATATATATATACGCACATAAATTTCCTTTTATTACTACTCATAATAAAACAAATTTTATAAGTAGATGGCACAGATAAGATTCCATTAGTTTGGTTAATTTATATATTGTAATAAAAAATATAATAATGTAATTTGGCTTATGAAGTGAATACAATTTAGTGCGGTTTACTGTTCGATCATAACTATTAGATCTACATAGTTATAGCAGTGGGGATCAATGGCATAGTAGCCATTTTTAGTTCGAAAAACGGATTTAGATGGCGTCATTGGTATCGAATGGAATTCAACATTGTTTTGTAATCGTTTAAAACCCAAAACTATGTTTTTAAAAAGGTTTAATCTAATTTTAAAAAGTCATATATAGATGTTAAAATGAAATAATGCGTTTTGAAAAGTAATTTTCATATATTTACTCATTTTGTTGTTGCCCTGTATTTGTTTACAATTTAATCATTGCTAATTGGGGCTTATTGTTTCCAAAATACTTTCATAGATGGCGCTGTTTTCATTTGTATCACCGTATTTTAAATGTTTATTTTATATTTTCAAATAATAAGTACTTACTATATTATTATGATAAATTAAACATAAAAAAAGTTTAAGTAAATATAAAACAGCTAAACAAGAAAACCATATTATTCCAGTAATACTTATTTAGAAAGTGTTGCCATATTAAAAATAAATGCATAGATTTATCGATTTTTTCGAATAATCGATAACAGGATATTACAACGCATTATTCGATGGTGCTTTTAATTAGTCTTTGCAAACAGTAAAATTTCATCATTTTGTATTATACTCTTATTTGGAACGAATTGCAATGCATAATTTTTACTCGACGACGGTAAAATAGAGAGATTTTGACAGGTATGCAAGTACTATATATTTATCTGTTCGCTCATAACTTCGAAACTTGAAGAGGGAAATATTAATTAGATTGATCTGATATAAGTGTACTCTATTATATCAACCTCCACGCGGTCACCCTGGTAATTATAGCAATTAATGACATTAGTGACATAGTTCTTCTATTAAAAATAAATACCTACTTATTGTAATTTAATGAATGAGAATTGAATGTGGTATAGAGTATATAAGGTCAGCTATACCTTTATGAAACCTCAATAAACAAGTGTTATATGGTATCTAAATTACTGACATTGATAGCTAAATATGAGGATCCTCGAATTTTTTAAAATACTCATAAGAAACTTTACAAATACTCGAATTTTGCTTTTGTAGAAGGATATTTTCAACCTTACTAAATTGTACAAGGTTTTGAAACGATAATCATTCATAATACTATGATATATTACTGATCCTAGTACCTACTATTCATGATAATTAGTTTTTTAATATCTCCATTCGAGGGTAGGTTATTCATGATTTATATTATTAGATTTCATCACAAATAAAAATATCGATTTAAAATCGTAGGTTGGTCCATATTTTTTTATTATATCTAAATGACAACGAGTACTGGCAACATAAATTAAATTTTAAAAATATAAAATATAGTAATAAAATAATAGGATAAACGACTTTAAGTCAAATGCTTAAAACATATTTTCACTAGCATTGGATTTTTTCTCTTTTTTCATCATTTAAGTTAAGTAGGTACTTCAACTTTTGAATTGTTCCTGTTCAGAGTTCATTGAACTTCTTATTTTTTTGTCAAACTCAATAATTTAAATGTGTCTAAGGACTACTACAAATATTTAGTAAACTATCGTGTCTTTGAGGATTATCTCATACCAGGTATAACTATAAGTTGTTAAAAACTTGCATATGTATGCGTGTGTATCTTTCATATTAAAATATAATAAACATAGGTACTTGGTGACCGCTTTAATGTGGTATTATTATGTTTTTATTATTGTTATGAATGTAACTTCAAAAAACTAACACTGATTTTATAATTTTTGATTGATTGAGAAAATACTGAAAATTATTAATCAAAATAAAGTACTAAACAGTAGTATTATTTTTATATTTTATTAGAACTGAATGAATATGATGTATGAATAATATGTTTATTGTGCTAATAAGGTTACAGTTTAGTTACTTTCATGTAAATTCATTCATGTAAGTTCATGAAAATGTAACATGGTATATGATATTGTTTTCAGATTTTCCTGACATCAACAACTTAATACTGAACAAAGTTTAAACAAATAAGAGATGATATTCTAAATCTCCTAGTCATTCAGATGAAGATAAATAACATTTTTACTGTAAAGAACAGGAGTTCAAAAGAATAAGAAATATATATATATATATATATATATATATAAACACCTCTTTGGGCACTTTGTTGATCACGCCACAACCTAAACACTTGCCGATTCCACCTTTTACACTGAATAACTTGAGTCCTATCGCGTATATCTCAGGCGGTATGGCAACGTCGCATTCTATTTTGCGATGTGGCCATATATATTCGTCGATAGTACGATATACTCGACACTTTTTTTACTAATAATTCGTGACTGAATGGCTCCGAACGGCTAAATTTTTGGTATACACAAAGACTTTTTGGCTCTGAATATATTCCAAAAATCAATTAATTATGTTGATCACTTTATATACTCGTCCTTACTGCGATACTTATTTTCATCCGAATATATATAGATACCGTAACGGTCTATCAATTATGAATTTATTAATTTACTAATGTAGATATTTTATATTCGCAATGCTCCATACATAGTAACTCCACCGTTGCAGGGGAGAGCACCGTACACCGCACCCCGCGCACACAAACAAATTAGATATTTTTTGAATACACAAAGACTTTTTGGCTCCGTATATATATTTCAAAAATCAATTAATTGTGTTGATCACTTTATATACTGGTCCTTACTGCGATACTTATTTTAATCCGAATATATATAGATACCGTAACGGTCTATCAATTATGAATTTATTAATTTACTAATCTAGATATTTTATATTCGCAATGCTCCATACATGCAAGCTCCAGCAACGGTGGAGGCAGGGGGAGCACCGTACACCGCACCCCGCGCACACAAACAAATTAGAATAAATTAAATTCATAAGATTATTTATGTATTTCGACTGCCTCGGTGGTCACACCGCTTTACATCCGATGGTCGCGGGTTCGATTTCTCGCACGGTGCAAACATATGTACTCATCG